TTCCAACTCAGCAATCCTTACAGGACAGAGTAGAACCGCTCGGCTGAGTTCCCTAGACTGTCATCTTTACAGAACTCTTGAGGCTAGGCCCTCAAGCTTGAAGCCACCCTCACCCCCACTCCTCATCCCTCCTCCCAATCCTCTACTCTCCATCCTCTCCCAGCACACACTGAGTTTTCAGCCAAACAATAGACAGTGGACACCAGTACCAGGGAGGAACTCACTCCTAAGAACAATTAACCATTGGAGATCAAAAGGGCAGCATTTGTCTGAGGACAAGGTTCAGAAGGCAGGAAGAGTTAAGAAACAAGGAGGAAGAGAAATGTGAAACACAGGGAGGAAGTTGGATAAGTCAGGTTGCACTGTGGGGACTGAAGTCAGTGCCAGGAAACAGAATGTGCACAAATTGTCGAGTGAAAAATCAGTCAATTGTCTTGGTAAAACTTCATAAGACTTTGTGCTCTGTCAACCTTCATCTCACTCGCAATTGAAAAGAAACCTTTACAGAAGCAAAGTATTTCCTCTTTCTCCTGGGCAGTGGCTGGTGGTACTGTTCACCTTTTGGCTGGCAGCCAAGCACTTAACCACTGTGCCACCAGGGTTCATTAATGTAATGGCAAACAAATATCCAAAAATCTCACCCCTTGTATATTAATTAAAAACAAAATTACTGTCATTTGGGCAGTTCAGACTAATGGCAACCCTTCCTTACCTTTCCAAGGCTGTAAATCTTCATGGAGGCTGGTGCATTACAATTGCTAAACTCTCAGTTACAGCAATTCTGCTATATCACCAGGGATCCCTAGCTCTAAGATAAATAAGGACATGTACATAGGGTCGCTATGAGCCGCAAACGACTCGACGGCACATAACAACAACAACATGCATATTTGTGTATAAACAGTGTGTTCGTAGCATTGCTACTCACAATAATAGCAAACTGGAACAAACAGAACAAACAGGTCCAGCTCTGGTAGCCAGCTGGTAAGAAGCTGTGCATTCAAAGGCATGCAGTTTGAATCCACCAGCAGCTCCACGGGAGACAAATAGTAAAGCTCCTTCTGTGCAATCTACTGCCCCTAAAAATCCATTATAGGTTCAACTCTGGGTCAGTTCTGACTTGATGGTGCCTTTCAATGGGGCTCTGGTGACACAGACCATAGGGGGTTGTCCTGCTAACCAAAAGAGGTGCTTCTTCGGTAGTTGGAACCCACCAGTGGCTCTGAGGAAGAAAGATGGGCTATCTCCTTCCATGTAATTTACAGCCTCCAGAAAGCCACTGGAGGGTCAACTAGGAGTCAGTTCTGATTCAACAATGAGTGTTGTAGTTGTTATGTACTGTTGAGTTGGAATGGACCCATAGCTGACCCCTAGTGGGTTTTCAGAGGCCGTAAATTGCCTGGGCAGAGACTGTCCATCATTCTCCCACAGAGAGGCTGGTAGATTCAAACTCTGTGTCCTTGGGTTGGCAGCACCACTAATGAACTTGGGTTCATTACCACTAGAGCACCAGAGCTCCCAGCAACAGTGAGAGAGATGGCTTAAGAGAGAACTCATGGCAATTAAAAAAAGAGTAGGAGGCCTTTCTACGAAGATGGCGCCGAAAGCCAAGAAGGAAGCCCCTGCCCCTCCCAAAACTGAAGCCAAAGCAAAGGCATTAAAGGCCAAGAAGACAGTCCTGAAGGGAGTCCACAGCAAAAAAAAAAAAAAGAAGATTCGCACGTCACCCACCTTCCGGCGGCCTAAGACGCTGAGACTCCGAAGGCAGCCCAAATACCCCCAGAAGAGCGCCCCCAGGAGAAACAAGCTTGACTATGTCATCATCAAATTTCCCCTGACCACTGAGTCAGCCATGAAGAAGATAGAAGATAACAACACACTTGTGTTCATTGTGGACGTCAAGGCCAATAAGCACCAAATTAAACAAGCTGTAAAGAAGCTCTATGACATTGATGTGGTTAAGGTCAACACTTTGATTAGGTCTGATGGAGAGAAGGAGGCCTATGTTCGACTTGCTCCTGATTATGATGCTTTGGATGTTGCCAACAAAAAATCTCAACCCTACCAGTCACTGTGCAGGGGAGGGAAGAAGCAATGTGCTTTCATACAGATTTTCAGCCTCAAAACCCTGTGAGCACAACTTTGTCCTACAGGGTCGTTTTGATTCAGAATTGACTGGCCACTGTTAAGGATGTTGAAAGCTAGGAGCTCTGGGTAAAAGCAATTGTTAATCAAAAGACTGACTGTTCAAATCCACCCTATGGCTCTCTAGGAGAAAGATCTGGCAAAGAGTTCCCATAGATTGTGGTTAGGCACTGTCTGGTCAATTCAGACTCACAGTCTGAAACGTCGCCCAGTCCTGCATATTCTGCACAATTCTGGCTTTGTTTGGGCTCACTACTGAAGACATAATGTCAGTTTCATGTCAACTACTCGTAAAGAGGGCAATCAAGAAAACTATGGGATACTTCTCTTCTGCCAAATGAGTCAGTTTCAATCTAAATTAATTTGATGGCAACCCACACTCTTGGCATTAGCAGTCAAGAAATAAAAAAAATGAATTGGTCTGGGGAAGGCTGTTGTCAGGAACCTTTCAAAAGTTTTGAAGAGTAATGATGTCAGTCTACAGACTAAAGTACACTGGATTCAGGCCATGGTCTTTGCAATTACTTGCTATACATCAGAGAGCTGGATGATGACAAAAGAAGAATTGATGTCTTAGAAGTGTGATACTGGAGAAGATATCATGGACCACCAAGAGAACAAACAGATATAACCTAGAGAGGATGAAACCAAACTGCTCTTTGGGGGCAAGGATTTTGAAGCTGTCTCACATACTTTGGGCATGTGGCCAGAAGAGACTAGTCCCTGGAGAAGGACATCATGCTTGGAAGGGTGGAGGGACAGAGTAGGAGAGGAAGACCCCAGATGATATGGATTGACACAGTAACTGGGGTATTGGAGATAGATGTGTTGGAGACAGTGAGACGGAGTTAGGAAAGAGCAGCACTCAGAACTATTGCACGCAGGGTCACTATAACAAAAACAACAACCACCAGTTCTTGTACTACCATGAGGATGGTGTGACCGCATATATGATTTTCTTTAAGGATGGTTTGTGGTTATTATGTGCTATCAAGTTGCCTACAACCCATAGTGACCCTATGTACAGTAGCTCTGACGCCTGCCCTGTCCTGAGCCAGGCTTATTGAATCTGACACAACAACCCCTATTGCCCCAGTTTTACCATCTCATCTATGGTCTTTCTCTCCTGCACTGTACCTCCACACTTTCTTTTTTTTTCTATTTTTTTTTTTTTGTGTGTGTGTGTACCATCAAATCAGATCTGACTGGTACAGGAGGAGATTGCCCCTTCTTCTCCAGCAGAGCATCTGGTGGATTCAAACCACTTACCTCTGGGATTGCAGTGCAGCTTCTTGCCACTAGGCCACCAAAGCTCCTCCCTCCACCCTTTCAAGCATGATACCCTTCTCCAAGGACTGGTCCCTCCTGGCCATGTGTCCAAAGTATGCTAAACAGAGCTTCAATGTACTAGCTTCCAAGAAGAAACTTGGTTTCACCCTCTGCAAGACAGACCTATTTGTTTTCTTGGCGGTCCATAGTATGTTCAAGACTCTTCTCCAGAACCACAATTCAAAGGCGTTGATTCTTCTGCCAGCCTTAGTTATTGTCCAACTAGCTCTCTGATGAATAGCAACTAATTGCAAAGACCATGGCCTGGATTAGGCACACCTTAGTCTCTAGACTGATATTGTTGCTTCTCAGTACTCTAGAGAGGTCCCTGACAGCAGATTTTCCCAAAGTAATTTTTCCTTTGATTTCTTCACTACTGGTGCCAAGAGTGTTGATTGTGGAGCCAAGCAAGCTGTAATTGTTAACAACATCTCTTCCCCATCTATCATGGCGCTCCCAACAGCCCAGTGGTGAAAATCTTCGACTTCTTGATTTTGAGCTTCAATCCATATTGAAAACTACAGTCCTTGACCTTCTGCAGCAAGTCCTCAGTTTCAGCAAGATTGTGTCATTTGCATAATGTAGGTTGCTTATGAGTCTTTCTCCAATCCTGATGCCACATTCCTCCTCATAAGGCCCAGTTTCTTGAATGATCTATTCTGCATAGGATGGTTTAGAAATGTTAACAAATTTGGCACTTATTTGGATCGATGGATCCTGTCATCTTAAATGGCTGCTGCTGATCATCAACACACAGGATTTATACAAATGGGACTAATATAATCTTAAGCTCTTAATTTTGACCTTGATTTATTTGGAGCAGAAGCTTTTAAAAAAAATTTTTTAAATGTTATAGATCACAAAAAAATGTATTTAAACTTAAAAGAAAATAAAAATCTTCACCACTGGACCACGAGGGAACATCATGATACAGATGGAGAAAAGATTGAAGTTGCCAGTATTTTCTTTTACTTGGATCCACAATCAACACCCATGGGAGGAGCAGTTAAGAAATAAAAAGATGTGTTGTATTGGGAAAATATGTTGTCAAACTTCTCATGCACATGTACAGAGTACGAGAACTCACACGAAGGACCACGTCCGCAAAACGTCTAGAGCAAAAGACAAACGTGACTCGGGATGCAGAACACAGTCCAGCCCCGCCCCACTTCTGAAGAACGCCCTGCACGCGAAACTGCGATAGAGTCTGGCCAATCAGCAGCCGTCCCGGCGTACGTCACTCCAGTTGGGCTTCCGTCACCTAGGCTGACCACACACTGCCAATGCGAAGCTGCCTCATGCTGTGAGCCGGCTCTCGGGCTCTTCCGCATGTTTCTGCAGCGATCGCGTCACTCTTAACGCTGGTTGGCAGCTTTACAACCAATGAATGAAACGCCTTGCACCCAGTAGCCAATAACCACCAGTCTTCCCGCCCCAGCCCACGACTGTTGGCTCTGAGATCCCGCAGCCCGAGGAAGGCTAATCGGAATTGGCGCGCTCGCTGCCCAATGTGTGGCCCGTGCGAGGTGCGGGGCCAATGAGATCGCCCGGGGCGACAAGGGCAGCGAGGCGGGCGGCTGCGAGGAGCGGCAGGTTTCAGCGGCAGCTGGTGTCCCGGAATAGCTATGGCGGATGCCGGCGTTGATGACGGGTGCTGCGTGCGGCTGAACGCCGAACGAGCCCAGGCACTGCTAGCCGATGTGGACACGCTGCTCTTCGACTGCGACGGCGTTCTGTGGCGCGGTGAGGCGGCGGTGCCCGGCGCTCCTGAGGCCCTTATGGCGCTGCGGGCCCGCGGCAAGCGCCTGGGCTTCATCACCAACAACAGCAGCAAGACTCGTGCCGCCTATGCCGACAAGCTGCGGCGCCTGGGCTTCGGCGGCCCGGAAGGGCCCGGCGCGGGGCATGAGGTCTTCGGCACGGCCTACTGCACTGCGCTCTACCTGCGCCAGCGCCTGGCTGGTGCGCCCGCGCCCAAGGCCTATGTGCTGGGCAGCCCAGCACTGGCGGCCGAACTGGAGGCCGTGGGCATCGCCAGCGTAGGCGTGGGGCCCGAGTCACTGCACGGCGACAGCCCGGGCGATTGGCTGGCCGTGCCGCTGGAGCCGGACGTGCGCGCCGTGGTAGTGGGCTTCGACCCGCACTTCAGCTACATGAAGCTGATCCGGGCCCTGCGTTATCTGCAGCAGCCCGGCTGCCTGCTCGTGGGCACCAACATGGACAACCGGCTACCTCTAGAGAACGGCCGCTTCATCGCGGGTCCGTGCGCCCTGGGGGCGGCGGCGGGCGTGGAGGGCGGCCCCGAGACCCCTTCCCCCGCAGCTGACCCCGGGCGCTCCCTTTCCACCCCCTCTTGGCCCCATAGGTACCGGCTGCCTGGTCCGCGCCGTGGAGATGGCTGCCCAGCGCCAAGCGGACATCATTGGGAAGCCCAGCCGCTTTATCTTCGACTGCGTATCCCAGGAATATGGCATCAACCCCGAGCGCACCGTCATGGTGGGGGACCGACTTGACACAGATATCCTCTTGGGCGTCACCTGCGGCCTGAAGACCATCCTGACCCTCACTGGGGTCTCCACACTGGAGGACGTCAAAGCTAACCAGGACAGTGACTGCGTGTCTAATAAGAAGATGGTCCCTGACTTCTATGTTGACAGTATAGCCGACCTGCTGCCTGCCCTCCAAAGTTAAAAGGTTTCATCTCCAGAATAATAATAATAATAAAAAAGAATATCAGCTCCCCAAATTCCTAGATGGGGTCTAGGCATGCACTCCCAAGAGGGCTTCCAAGAATGTAGTTGGAGTTCATTGTCAGCCTCGTAAGTGGTCATTGTGGGGGAGTGACTGTTTACAGATCCTCCTAAAAGGCATTTATTTATTTTTTTTTTAGGCTTGGAGGGACTTTGTGGGGTTCAGCACCCATCCTGGCCTGATGAGGGAGCCAACCTCTTGGCTGGGCTTTAGGGAAAAATAGGGCTGATGATTGTGAGGTTTTGAACAGTTTGTACAAACCAAACCTGCACTTTCTTATTCTGATGTCTTCCTTGAAGAGGTGGTAGAGGAGCTGTGAAAACAACTGTCAGAATTCCATTTCACATCCCTAGGGCTGCATCTCCCCTTCACATAGCATTTTCAGTTCTATAAATACAGACCCTCTCTGCCCCTACCCCTACTCTTGGCTGACCCTTGGCAATCTTCAAGTCAAGGCCCAACAGCTGGAATGCACCGTCGGGTGAGGCTGCCACTAGCAGAACAGCCCTAACACCCAAATTTGGTTTTTAAAAACCTCTCTTTCCCAGTGCTGTTACTCTATGGAACAAAATTACGAGCACGTTGATTATCACTGTGTGCTTATCTCTTTGGGACTGTCCTGCTGGATAAGTCAGGGTGACCACAGCTAATGGTGCAGCTAAAGGCGTGTGCTGGCCTAGAAACGTGTGCCATCCAGGGCGCCCTCAGGATGGGGGAGGGAGTGCCCAGAACAGGAAGTTCTTTCTGAAAGCATCTAGTCTCCTGTCCTCATTTGCCCTCAGCTGGCATAGGGTTAGGTGTCTGGGACCTATCAGGCCATCTCTCTTGACCCTAGTTTCTGGTTGTGGTCCCTGGCAGGGAGCCCTGGCTTTTCCTGTCCCCAGAGTCTCCTGAGCTTTGGAGGGAAGGGCTGACTAGCAGATTCGTGGGTGGCTCTTTGAGCTCACTGTCCATTAGCTACCCTGCACCCAGCTTTTCCACCCTAGTCCTGGAGGTCCCTCCCAGCGGTCCTCCCTCATAAATTCTCAGAGCAATAAAGGGTATCAAGTCCTCAGACCTGGAGTGTGTGCTGTCATTGGCTACTCTCCCCCCAGTGGACTGGGCAGGACACCTTGCCTATGTGGGTTGGTGGTGCTTGCTGTAGACACTGGCTGGCCTGCTGAGGGCTTCACTGCCTAACAGGGCCAGGAGCACCAGGTGAACCTGAGCAGGTATTAAATTCTCACACCTGTTGCTTGACTCTGAGTGTTCTTTTCTCACATGTCACTTTGTGCCTGGATGGCAGTCACATAGCAGGGCACAGCTGCTCCCACTGGGGGTGGAGGGAGTTCCAGGGCTGAGATTGGGCACTCTAGCTTCACCTCTTCTACGTGCACACCAGACAGGGAGCTGGGAAGAATAGGCAAATAGAGTTGGCCCTGACATGCTTGGTGCTTGGCAGACACAAGTTGGGACCAGGGGTTGCCAGAGAGCCAGGCTGGGCAGGTAGGACACTGAGGCTGACCTTAGCACTGACTACCTAGGATCTGTCTCATGACACATTTGACACCTGATTTTCCTGATAAATGTGGGGGCTAGGAAGCAGCTGGGGGAATGTAGAGGCAGGAAAGAGGTATTGTCTCACAGTAAGACTCTCCTTTATCCACTGTTAGGAAATAAATCTCTAGTCACATGAGCTGTCCTACAGCTTCTCCAAGGCTGTCATCTGTCACCCATGAGACAGCTGTTAGGTTTGAACCACCACCATTTTCATTACTAGCTAATTGCTTAACCCATATGTCACCAGGGATCTGACTTGGGCCCCCACCAACCAAAACCCCAGCTGTCTTGTTGCTTCCAGCTCGCAGTGACCCTGTAGGACAAAATAGCACTGCCCCTTAAAATTTCCAGTATCATAGTGTTAGGTGTTGCAAAGTTCAACAGTTCAAACCCACAAGTCACTCCAAAGGAAGATGGGCCGTCTATTCCCATAAAGATTGAGTTGGGAACCTCCACAGAGGATCAGAGTTGGTTTTAGCTTCATCTTTACGGAAGCCAACTGCTTTGTCTTTATCCTAGTAAAGCTGTTGGATTTGGAGTACCAGAGCTGTCAAGAGACAGGTGCTTTAGCCACAGCACCACCAGAGCACCTGTCTTGACTTCCCACGAGGATGCCCTTCGCTGACTACCCTCCAGGCCCCCAGGAGTGCCGGCTGCATGTGCCAGGTGTCTGGGTGCCAGGTTCCGTGACAAGCCAGAGGAGGGGCCACCTGGCCCAGCACTGAGTATCAGATGGCTGCATGGGGAGGAGCAGTGGGGTCAGCTCATCACAGGTGCTCTGGGGTGTCCCTGGCTGACTCCCCAGGGAAACTCAAAACAATCTGCAGTCAACAGGGGCTGCAGCATGGAGCAGGGGGAGCACCAAGAGGAGCACCCCAGGCCTACTGGGGTGAGTGCCTTCTACCAGTGCCTATTTCCATCCTACCTCCCCTAGCCAGCCCACTCTTGCCCTAGCTGCAGTGTGACCCCATATGTCCCCAGGTGAAGAGCAAGCCCTGCTCTGGGTGCTGGAGAGCCCCAGGTTTCCTGCTGTTGCTGGCAGTGCTCACCGCAGGGGCTGCTACTGGAGGGCTTCTCAGCTTTGCTCACGGATCCCACAAGGTAAGTCACTGTCCCACTGACCTGGCTCGAGAGGGATAGGAGAAGAGGACTTCAGAGGGGCAGGCGGGTGTTCAGGGAATGATGGTAGTGCTGATAGACTCAGCTCAGACCCCTTCTCAGTCACGGCTACAGCTGCTCCGGCTGACCCTCCCAGGCCCCAAGGCCAACCAGACCACACTGGTGGACGTGGCAAGGAACACAGCCATTGTCACTGTGACGCCCCTGCAGAGCAACAGCAGCTGGGTGGTGCTGTTTGATGGGCAGAAGGTGAGCTGGCAGGGCTGGTCTAGCATTGGGGCCCATGGGTATGTGTCGGACACTGATTAGCCTGCCTCCCTAGGGCTTTGTCTGCTACCGGCCCGCAGGGCACTCGGCCTGCTTCCTGCACCCCATGGAGCCCCAGGACCAGGAGGCACTGCAGCTGCTGGTGAACACCTCTCAGGTGAGTGGCCGCCGTGAAGGAAGACAAAGGGTCCTGTGTGCAGTTGGCCGAAGGCCGCCAGGGCTCCGGTTTCAGGGGAACAGAGGGAGCTATCTTCCCCTGGCTAGGGCTGCTGACAGGGAAGTCGAGGGGCTGGGATGGGTGGGGGAGCCTGGGTGCTGGAGGCGCCTCATCCTTGGCCTACCCAGCCTTCTGTGCAGGTTCCAGGGTCTCGAGATCACAGCCAGAACACTGGCCACACTCAGGAGCTGCTGGCTGTGCTGGGGAGACAGGAGGTGGACCCTGGCCAGCTGGGGACCTTGGTGCAACAACTCTGTGCACAGACACCCATATATTGGGCCCATCGTGCAGAGGGTAAGTGGGGACAGGCCCCAAAGTAGAGGGTCTGCAGTGGAGGAGCAGGAGTACTCTGGGGACTGATAGAGGGCCTCTTTCCAGGACCCCCGCGACAGCGGCTGATCTACCTCTGCATTGACATCTGCTTCCCCAGCAACATCTGTGTGTCAGTATGCTTTTATTACCTCCCAGACTGAGCCCACCCCTGCCCTGGCACTGTGGCTGCTGGGACTAATAAAGCCTTCCACCTAGCCCTAAAGGTGTCCTCTGTAGCATCAGGACTGGAAGTGGGAAGTGAGCACTGGCCTAGGAGTGGGCACCAATCTCCACTTTTGCTAGGTGGCTCCCAGAGAATTCCTGAGGGGTCTGCAGGCTAGTCCAGAGGCCTGCACAGACTGGCCCAGGTCTCCTGCTATGTCTCATCCAGGTAAGATGCTGCAGAGAGGCTGGACACGTCACTCAAAGAGGTCATTGCCCCAGCCAGTAGGACCTAGCCTTGGGCCTCCAATGGCCCAGTCACCCAGCAGTCAGAGAGGGCACAGGCTAGCCCAGCACGCTGTCATTGAAGGCCAGGCAGACAACAGCTTTCTGGTGACCTCCATACTCTCGCTTGATCTCCCCAGTCTCCACGCACCAGAGTCGGGCCAGGTTGTCAGAGGATGCTGCAGGGAAGGAAGGGACAGCAGGTTAGAGCTGGAGGGTAGGGTGGGGCAGGCCACTGGGGCGGAGTGAGCAGGCTCACCAGTGACGATGTATTGGGAGTCCCCAGAGAAGGCGCAGCCCCACATCCATCCACGGGAGGACTCCCCGGGGTTCCCGCTCTTGATGCTCAGCTCTGTCATCAGGGAGAAGTTGGACGTCCTCCAGATCTTACAGGTCTGATCAGCCGAACATGTGGCCAGAAGCCTGGAGTGGGAGCGCAGGGAAGTCACAAAAGAAGCCCCCTCTAGGCAGTGGGTCCCTCTCCGGATAGCAGGCTCCTCTCCAGGCGGCGGGCCCTCTCCAGGTGGAGGGCCCAAGCATGGTCCCTGGCCTATACTCACGTCGAGTCAGGACTGAAGCGGCACTGCAGGGCATAGCGGGTGTGTGCTGGGATCTTGGTCTTGGGGATGAGCTGTGTCACCTCGTCACCGATGCCACCAGTGAGGTTCCAGACATAGCAGTTTCCCTGTCGGGTGAGAAGAGAGTCACAGGGATCCAGGGCCAGGTGAAGTCATCCTGCCTGCCCAGGGCACAAAGGACACCTACATCTAAGCAGGACCGTGGGGAAGCTATCCACTGTGAATGGCAACAGGAGAGGGCCCAAGGAAGGGGGCACTGTAACCAGAGCACCAAAGGGGAAGCCTGGGGACCCTGGGGTACAGGAACAGGGCAGCAGAGGGAGTGGGGTTGAACCAAGGTGACCGCAGCCATCTCAAGGCTTGGCAGGGGGATACAGGCAGGCACCTGGCACCATGAGAGAAGAGAGCTGAGGCATAAGGGAGCCATGGGATGAACCACAGTGATGGGAAAGGCGTCCCATGCCCTCCACCCAGGACTCACAGTGCTGTTGACAGCTGCCATGTAGCTGGCATCGGGGTCGATGTGAGTGGACATGATGGAGACCTCTGGCTCGGGGATCAGCTGCTCATTGTGGTCTGTTTTCAAGTCCCAGATGTGGATGGCCCCACTCTGGTCCCCCACAATGAGCTCCGCCTGGGGAGTAGCAGGGTGAAGTAGGCTGGGATCCCCACCCTCCCAAGCCCCAGCATACCTCGCCCCCTCACCTGGTTGGGGTGTACAGGAAAGTGAGGTATGCCAGGACCCCTTACTTTGTTATGGCATAAGAGAGTGAGGCAGGACCCTGGTTAGGGTATAGTGGAATGAGGCAGGACTCCTCACCTGGTTAGGGTACAGGGGAGTGAGGTGGGACCCCTCACCTGGTTAGGGTACAGGGGAGTGAGGCAGAACCCCTCATTTGGTTAGGGTGCAGGGGAGTGAGGTAGGACCTCTCACCTGGTTGAGGTGCAGGGGAATGAGGCAGGACCCCTCACCTGGTTAGGTAAGGGTATACAGAGGAATGAGGTGGGACCCCTCCTCTGGGTGGGATGCAGGGGAATGAGGTCAGACCTCTCAACTGGTTAGGGTTCAGAACAGTGAGGTGGGCCCCCTCGCATGGTTAGGGTATAAAGGGGAGTGAAGCAGGACCCCTCACCTGGTTGGGGTGCAGGGGAGGCAGGACCCTTCACCTGGTTGGGGTTCAGGAAGTGAGGGAGAAGATTCCTCACCTTATTGGGTTACAGGGGAATGAGGCAGGACCCCTCACCTGGTTGGGGTGCAGGCACACACAGTTGATGGGTGCATTCACCTGGAAGATGCGCTGGCACTGCAGGTTCCGGGACCTGGAGAGTGCAGGGAGGTTGGCACTGTTGGCATGGTACCAGGTGCCTTCTCCCTGGCTGGCTTATTTCATGCCTCTGCTGATGGGAAAGGAGCCCTGGTGGTACAGGGCTTAAGCATTCTGCCGCCTGCCCAGGGCTTTAAAGTCCTCCAGGGAGGATCAGACTAGCTCTTTGATGCAGTTTACTCTAGAGCATCCTGGGGGTGAGGCAGGGGTCGAGCCTCCCCCTGTTCCCTCCTGCTCTTCTCAGTTTCCTCAATAAATGCATCTGAGTCTGCATGCCAGCCAGCCAAAGCCCCCACTGAATGCCCCCCACCTGAGGTCCCAGATCCTGGCGGTGCAGTCTTCCCCACCCGTGTACATCCAGCGGCCGTCCTCGTGGAAGCCCACGGATGCAATGTTTTTGTTGACGCCATCATAGCTGATGATGGGGTTGGGGTTATTGGAGTTCAAGTCATACATGCGGATATGCTGGTAACCTGCAGGCACAAAGTGAACTTGAGCTGGGCCATGCCCAGGGCCACCCTGCTGAGGTCAGGTGTCAGGGGTCAGCATACCTGCAGCTGCAATCATGCTTCGGTCTGGTGTTATCTCCAAGGCGTTCACCTGCTGGCCATGTCAAGGAGCATGGGGGGAGCAAAGGGAGGCCGAGTCCTGGTGACCACCCTCCTCAGGGCTAACTATTCCTACCCCCTCAGCCCTCGGCCTCCTGCCTCAGCAGGTGCCCTATCTCTGGAGTGGAGGATACAGAGTCTTGATGCTGTACTGTGCGGGTGCAGATGCCACTGTGGGCCTGCCAGAAACGCACGGTGTGGTCATAGCCGGCGGTGGCCAGGATCACTGGGTCACTCCCCACTGTGCCTGGGGAGGTGTTCATGGTGCTGCTGCTGGGCAGACAGAGGCTCTGCACAGGCTGGACAGAAAGGTCAGAGGATCAGAGCATCTATGGGAGAGAGAAGTGTGAATGATTCAGAGGTTACCCTGTGTTAAGACTAAGTAGTGGCACAGTGGTTAAGTGCTCAACTGCTAACCCAAAAATCAGTGGCTCGAATTCTTCAGGCTATACCCACAATCAGCATCCAAAAAACATTACCAAAAAACCCAAACCCACTACCATCAAGAGGAAATTCCAACGCAGCAACCCTTGATCAGATTTTTAAGGCTGGAAAATACATTAAATAAGACTGCCCAACTTTCCTGCGGTGGATTCAAAACCACCACAGCCTAGCAGCCCCACAGGTAAGCACTAGCGCTCTATTAGGGTAACAGCCTTGAAAACTCTTTTGGGGCACTTTAAGGTCCTGTCCTGTTAATTGGAATCGACTCAACCAGCAATGGAATTAAAGGACACTGCAGGCTTACAGTGTTGCCAGTTGTTGTTACTGCCACTGCCATCCAATCAGTTCCAAATCGGTTACCCAAACCCACTACCATGAAGCTGTCAGACTGCTTCGGGGTGGGGGGGCGTGGGTGGATTCACACTGCTGACCTTTCTTATTTCAGTTTTTTGTGCTGTTACGCACCGTCAAGCCGGAGCTCATAACTAACACTCGAGCTGTTTAAAGAGGCAGTAAATCATACGAGAGGAGATTGTCCAAATTTCTCTCTCGGAGCAGCTGGTGGATTCGAACTGCTTGCTTTTGGGTTGGCAGCACAGCTCTTTAGCCCCGAAGCCACCACAGAGCGATTTCTATTTTATAGATGGGGGGAAATGAGATCAAGAGGTTCTAGCGCAGCGCCCACGTTCCAGATCGCGCGCTCCGCTTCCTGCCCTTCGCGCCCCAGAGGGCACCACCCACGCGCGGCCGGCAGGTGGTAGTCACGCTCGGGACGGGGCTCTGCCGCAAGGTCAAGCCGCGCATGCGCGGACCTACAAGCCCGCTGGGGTTGAGGCGAATGCTGCGGTTGCGCATGCGCACCAGACCGGCAGTGGGTCCTGAAAGGAGGGGGAATTGCCAAGACTGGACCCTGAGCTCCCCTGTGCTCCGCCGGCCGCCCTGGCCCTATTTAATTGAGCCAGCTTCCTCCGGTCATACTCTCCCAGCCACCAGGCGGCCAGTTCCCGGCCCTCGGCAAGCGACCCCGTACCTCCCAAGCAGCTCCGTACTCCACCGAGTCTCAGGATGTTGAGAGGAGCCGGATCGAATTGATTGAGGTCGAGCGCAGAATTATCGATGGAGACCCTATGGGCGAGACCATAGAGTGCGCGTGGTGGGGGGAGACTGGACGAGACCAAAGTGCTCAGGCGGGGAGTCGCCTGCCTCTTTCTTACCGCATAGACCCCTACCTTCCCCCCACTTTGGCATCCCTCCTTATGAAATGGCTGCCTGTTTTCCCGTCCAGACTCCCCAGGCATGGATGGCAGGCAGTGGTCGTTTTCGTAACCTGTCCCTAACACACACGACCTAAGACTAAAGAGTTGCCAGAAAAAGTGTACAGTGACTTTCGGATTTCAGGTAAGCAAGGAATGATTCTTTAGTATAAGTATAGGTATGCCCCAAATATTGCATCAGCTCAGCTCATTATCATTGAGGCAGAACCGACCCGTAGTTGACCCTCCAGCGGGTTTTTAGAGGCTTAAATCGCGGAGATTGTTCATTCTTCTCCCACCGATCAGCTGGTGGACTTGAACTGCTTTGTCTTTGGGTTGCGGGCTTAAGTCCTCACCCACTAGGTCATCAGGACATTTTTATACTGTTGTTTGTTGTTGTTATGTGCCGTCGAGTCGTTTGCGACTCATAGCGACCCCATGTACAACAGCCCTAAACCGTTCTCTATCCTGTGCCAATCTCATTGCCTCTGACACACCCATCCCGAGTACCCCAGTCACTGAAACAATCCACCTCATAGAGGGTCTTCCCCTCCTGCGCTGTCCCTCTTCTCTACCCAGCATGATGTCCCTCTCCAAGGACCAGTCTCTCCTTACAACATGTCCAAAGTATGTCAGACGAAGCCCCAGAATCCTTGCCTCCAAGGAGCAGCCTGGTTTAATCCTCTCTAGGATGAATCTGTTTGTTTTCTTGGCAGTCCATGGTACATTCAATACTCTTCTCCAGCACCACAGCTCAAAGGCGTCAATTCTCCTTCTATTCTCCCTAGTCATTGTCCAACTCTCTGATGCATAACAAGTGATTGCAAAAACCATGGCCTGTATCAGGCGGACCTTAGTCTCCAGAGAGACACTGAAATTAAAATTTAAGTGCTCTAATATTTATTATTTTGCTATATTTGGCAGCCCGGTTGTTCACAGAGTAGCACTGCTAAAAAAGGTTGGCAATTCAAACCCACCTAGAAACTCTTTGGCTGAAAGGCTTGGCAAAGTTACAGTGGTGACAATGACTTGACTGTTTCCCCTCCTCTAAACTGCACATATATCATTCATAATATGAACCATTTCTGTCATAAGGGGCGTTCTCTGAACTGTGGCCAGTAACACCTTTTGTCTCATATAAAATGAAAGGAAGACAAGCAGAGAATGGGGCCCTCTCTACCCCCAAGAAGACTCCTCAAGAGCAGAGTATGTCCTCTGCACTCAGGTGCCTGTAATGAGAAGCTTCTGACACAGGGGAAGGTCGAGATCCATGGAGACCGCACCAGATGCTGAAGGGAAAAAGGATCTTCCTCCAGGTCCAACAGAGAGAGACAGAGAACCTTTCCCAGAGCTGACACCCTAAATTCGAACTTGCAGCCTCCTAAACTGTGAGGGAAGAAGTTTCTACTTGTTAAAACCATCCCTTTGTGACATACCTATCATGTTGTTTCGTCCCATCTAGTCACCTGAAACTCATAGCAACCCTATGTACAAAAGCTCTGAACCCTGCCCTATACTGTGCCAGTGTCACTATCTCTGATACACCCACTCCCATTACCCCAGTTACTGTGTTAAACCATCTCATCTGAGGTCTTTTCCTGCTCTGTCCCTCCACTCTTCTAAGCATGATGTCCTTCTCCAAGGACTGGTGCCTCCCACCCAAAGTATGTGAGATGGACCTTCAAAGTTCTTGCCTCCAAGGAGAAGCTTGGTTTCACCCTCTCCAATACAGACCTATTTGTTTTCTTGACAGTCAATGGTATGTTCAATACTCTTTTTCCAGAAACACAACATAAAGGCATCAATTCTTTTTCTATCCCTTAGGTCGACTCTCTGATGCAGATCAAGTAATTGCAGGTGCCCCTTAGTCATTACACTGATACCATTACTCTTTAGGACTTTGGAGAGGTCCCTGACAGCAAACATCCCCAATGAAGTTCATCTTTTTATTTCTTGATTGCTGATGCCAAAATTATTGATTCTGGGGCCAAGCAAGCTGAAATATGTTGAGCTTCAAACCATATAGAAGAATACACATCCTTAACCTTCTCTAGCAAACACTTCAGGTCTTCCTCAGTTTCAGCAAGCAAGGTTGTGCCATTTGCGTATCACAGATTGATGATTAGTCTTACTCCAGTCCTGATGCCATATTCCTCCTCACAAAGCCCAGCCTCCTGAATGATCTTTTCTGCATACAGACATACTCCTTTCCTGATTTTGAACCATACAGTGTTTCCTTGCCTGTTCTGAGGACTGCTTCCTGGACCTGAGTATAGGTTTCACAGGATCACAGTCCAGTGTTTTGGATTTTCATTCTCTTCAAAGTTAGCCACAATTTGCTGTGATCCACATAGTCTTTGCATAGTCGATGAAACACTGACATTCTTCTGGTACTCTTTGCTTTCAGCCAGGCAATAATGGCAATAATGTTTCCAGTGTCATGGTCTCTTCTAAAACCAGCTTGTATTTCTGGTAGTTTCCTGTCTATATACTGTTCTAGTCATTTTTGGATAATCTTCAGCGGGATTTTGCTTGCATATGATATTGTTTGATAATTTCCACACTCTATCACACTTTTTTTTGGAATGGGAATAAATATGGATCAGTTCTAGTCAGTTAGCCAGGTAGTTGTCCTCTAGATTTCTTGCCATAACCCCGGGAGCATGTCTAGGGAAGCATCTGTTTGTTGAAATATGTAAATTGTTATTCCATAAGTCCCTGGGGCCTTGTTTTTTGCCAATTCCTTCAGAGCAGCTTGAACTTCTACTTCATCACCATCACCATTGCCTCTTGACCATATATTGTTTCATGAAATTCTTCTGTGTCAGCCAATTATTTTTGGTACAGTGGCTCTCTGTACCCATTCCATCTTTTTTTTTCACACTACAAAGAATCTTTACTTTTAAATGATTATCAGTACATTAAGTAATAATAAAGAACAAGTTCCCATATTCTGTTATCTAGTACCTTCTACTGCAAGAAGCTTAAGAGTAGCCCCAACTAGACTATTACAAGTACACTCTGCTTTTCGAAAATTTACTTTATGTCACCTCACTTTAACAAGAGACTTGCTTTAATACCTGTTTTCAAGAACTGAAATAAATCCAAAAGGGATTTTTGCTTTTATAGAAGGTGGCGAAAGAGTAAAACCAATATCCAGCCATTTGTTCTTGCCAACAATGCACACCAAGCATTTAGAGTGTTACCAAGCTTCTTCTCTGGTTCCTACACTCAGCATTTCAGCACTGAGCCATCAGTTCTGAACTGTCTAAACATTGTATTAATTTTCTTCTAGAGTTTATGTATTATTTCGTAATTTATTTTGGGGGTTGAGAATACTTAAAAATTTTCCCACTGCACCTTCATTTCATGTCATTTTGCTTTAGGAAAGGTGTCACAAGAATGCTCTGCTTTTGGACAGTAGAGAAAACTTCTATTCATTTTTCTAACAGAAAGTATTATTTTAAGGCTGGCTGCTGTTCAAACAAGTTAAAAAAAAAGCTGTTTACTACTTTTCCTTCAATAAAGCCCTTGACCATCAAGAAAACTTTAGGGAAATAAAATATTT